AAAGTTAATAAAGAAAATTAGAGCGCCACACGCGCCCCACGATGTAATACATCGGGGATAGTTAAAAAAAAAAAAAACTAGAGATTATGAAAATAGAAAATTAGATAAAAGAGAAAAAAAAACTTAAAATAATATAAATAATGTGTTAACATAATGAATAAATTTTTAAAAATATTCTTACTTTGTAAAATCCTTATAAAAAGAATAAAGTTTTGCTTGAACAAAAGATATGCTCTCTAAATATAATAATAAATCAAAAGTCTTATTAATAAAGACCTTTCTAAAATCTCAAATAAATAATCATTTTATTATAGATTAAAATAAACTCTTTTTAACAATTCTTTACACCAACTTTTTCTTAAAAGCCTGATTTATAAAAACTATATAGTTATTATAGTATATATAACAAAACTTTACTTTGGAGTAACTGAGATTAGAGACTATTTACTGCATATTGTTTATAACTAAAAAGAGCTAAAAAAGACTCAAACCCTTGTAAGCAAAGTCCTCTGATATAAAACTCAAGTACTACTAAGCAAAAAAATAGTAGATAAGCTCTGAAGCTTTGTTAAATTCTATAAAAACTTAGACCTAAATAGTTATTTAGTCTAATATAATATTTTATATAGCATAACTTTTACAACTCTTTTACAAGTTAGTTATCTCATCCACTCTTACTATTAGATTTTTATCTTAAAATTTTTACCAAAAAGTGAGAAATCTGACATATTTTTTTCAAAAAATTAATACTGTTTATTTTTCCAAATCAATAACAATAATCACAAGAAAGTTACAATATTACATAAATGACTTAATAAATGATATATGTCAATCTCAAGAGAAAAATAAAAATTTTGACTTATTTTCTATATAATAAATGAAATACATTATAATACAGAAATAAAGCAAATATAAAGTACTCTTTATTTAGTATTATATATAATTTTTAATACCAAGTATAGGCAAAAATAATGTCTTCATGTTTTCTGTTTTTTTTTGATCTTTTTTTTTTATTGTCTTTTTCTTTTTTTTGTTGTTTTTCTTGATATACATTTAGGTTTGATAGTTAGTTCTCTTTTTTTTTACTTTTTTTTTACTTTTTTTTTTTAGTTTTTTTTTATATATTTTGTTGTTCATTAGACAAAGATTATAAAATTCTCTTGCTTAATAATTAGAAGAAGAAAAATTTAAAGATTTAGTAGCTATAATGAGTCTGTAAAAGTATTCAGTAATATATCTTAAAAGTTTAATTAATTTGAAATAATAGGTATTAAAATAATATCTACTATAGCAGATCATATATAAATGTTTTAAGAAATAACCAAATAAGTTAATATTTAAAAATAAGATAATAAGAATATGCTTTTAGAAGACTTTGTTGTAGTTTTGAAAAATTATCTAAATAATAAATATTGGCATAACTATCAAAAGTTAAAAAAAATAAAATAAATAATTATTCTTTAAAAGAATTACTCTTATCTTGTAATATATTTAAAACTATTTTCATCTGTACCAAATTGTAAAACTGCTTCTAGCATTTTTTAAGAAATGTTATGTAACATATATGTTTTTCAAGTAACAATTTATTGTATTTACTTTATTTCTGTACTTACCTTTCTAGTCTCTAATAACAGTAATTTTAAATTTTTATAAAAATTAACAATATCTATTTATGGATTATGTTTCTTTAAAAGAAAAGCTTTAGAAAAATTTATGAATACTTTAATGTTACATATTTTTAATGTTAAGGGTAGAGTGTATGTAGATTATGTTTTATATGATCTAAATGGTATAATAAATTTTTATATAGTATATTAAAATGTGTTACAGTCTACCCTTGTTTATATCAACCCATTTGGATTGGTTTTAAATTATGTTGATAGTGATATTAACGAGAGATTATATTAAAGTTAATATATATGAGGGAATTTTGATATATAAAAATTTATAAAAATTTGATTTGTGGCTTAGGTTGATATTAACAAGGTTGATATTAACGGGGGTCAACTGTACTAATAAAACTTTTTTATTTTTTAATTAATTATTATTAAAATTTAATAATATATAGATTTAAATAAGTTATTTATTATATTAAAATTTTATAAGATGTTTAATTTAAAAAAATTCTATTTGTATATACCTTGAATTCTTCTAGAGAGCTCTATGTTTTTTTTGAGGTTATACAAAAAGTTAACTTTAATTGACTAATTTCCGAAAAACTATAAAAGAATTTTAATAGTAAATTTTTATATCATCTTTAAAAATTCATATATTGATGAGTTTTACACCAATTTTAATGATTTTACTACTGTTAAAATCACAAAAACCTACTCTACAACTTTACTTAGAAGTTCAAAAAATATTTAATTAGTAAAAATTTTCATATTTGAAATTATAAAAAAAATATACCATTAAGTTTATACAGTATATAATTTTAAAATATTACACCCTACCCTTAATTTAAGATTACATAAAATATATAAGTGCAGATCATTGGACATTTCACCTGACCGATAAATCAAAATGCGGTTGGTATGCTATATGCTGCGCCTCAATAAGTTTTTAATTTTCTAATACGGCCGGGTTATGAGAACCAAAAAATTGGCCTAATACGATTATTAAGGCCATTTTTGAAAAATATACAATATATCGATAAATTTCACCTCGGGTGAGCATTAAGATCATCAACTGTAAATTATAAATTCAAAAAAAGCGCCTATAATGTCATGCGTATAATTTAATAATAAATTAATAATCCCAACCATTTATTATTTAACTATAATGCGTAAAAGATCTTATATTAATTTGAAGCATTAAAGAATATTTGCGAATTATTAGGTATGCATCAATGATAAATGTTTTTGTTTTTTTTTCTAAGAAAAGATTAAAAACATCATCTGTGACTAAAAAAAATATATATAATAATTCAAAATTTATAATCAAACAAATGCTAAAAGTACAATATCTAACAAGAAAAAGGATTCAAAAGTTAATTTAAAATAATCTAATATTAATAGTTCTCATCAGTGTAACTAAAATTTCAAATGCTCATATGGTCCTGTCGTCCATTATCAGTAACGTTAGGTGGATGATATTTAGTAGGTTGTAAAGGAGCTACTAAACTAGAATATTGTTGGTTTGATAATCCATTTGGATCGTCTTTGAACAGATCATCATCATTATATATGGATACTGGTACTTTACTAAAGTCAACCAAAAACAAGTATTATTAAAAAAATGTATACAATAATAAAAAGCAATGTATCAACATACCCCCGACGCCTTTCACTTTGGCTAGAAGTTACAGGAATTTGTTCCACTTCGTTATAATCCGCAAACGGATCAATCGCGATTGATTTACTAAAAGAAACCAGTATTTAACATGCATTGATAACAAAAATTTTTAAACATATATTCAAGCTTTTAATCACCTGCCGCCAACCCCAGCATCGTCTGCATCAAAGTAATTATCATAATAGTTATTTCTTGAAGATTGCTTGATAAAGAACAACATAGTATAATTTAATCTGTAGTCAAATCGATTAATACAAACGCTTTATATCATAAATTGTTATTAAAATACCACAGAGATCTTTTCAGCTGCTCGAATTTGTCCTCGTTCGACCATATCTCCATATAATTGGAATGCTTTTACAAGCTCCTGATTTACCGAAATAAGTGTATCTAACAAATACTAAAGTTAGTAAGTATTAAGAATATATTATATTTCACAAACATAATGAACATAACTTACCCAACCAATGTTCATCTTGTACTTCATTTATGTAACGATTAATATTTTGAAGCAGGGATTGACATTTTGCGTGAAACTCCTTTAAACAAATTAATAGTGAGATTGAAACAGAATTAAATTAAATATCGGTATGTTTTAAAGGCTACCTGGATCAATTCATTTTTAGTGATGTCTTCCGCTTCTGGATCAGTAAACGAAATAGTTTGCGTGAACAATTGCACATTATTTTTTGCAAGCTCAATATCCTCAGCGACTTTGTCCAATGATGTATTCTAAAATCATAAGTACGCATTCAGTAAATAGTAAACCATTAACGGGCATCTTTTTTAGCAAAATAGGGATGAAATTTGTTATAAGATATATACCGAAGGAGCGTTGTGCTGTAAGCATAAAGTAATTAAAGAATAATTAGTAAAGAATGAAGTAATACATAATTCTCACAAAGAAATGGGAAACATATACCACTCTTCTAGGGTTTACAATAGGATTATTTTGGTATTCACCCATTGGTATTACTTTCATTTTCTTTAACTTGTTATAAAGACTAGAGATTTGCCATAAACTAGGCTCGTCTTGGAACGCTTTGGTCCAATTACTTAATAACTCAACAAGCTTATGCTTAACGTCAGGATCAGCATTCGGCGTCACTACTACTTGTTCTAATGCTTCAAGGAATTTTTTGGAAGCGATTTCGGCTTTTACAGTAGAAGAGAAAAAAACTTTTAAAGAATCCGGGAATTTAAATTAATTTGACATTATTTAATACTTACCATGAAACTTTGCGCCACAATTTTCAGCCATAGCTTGCAATACCTAATGTGATCGAAAGACTAATCAACAATTGTCATGATTTAATCGATTACGTAAATCACTATTCAAATGATAACGTACAGTTAGAATTCTGTGTTGCATATTTATCAATTGTATTCTGACTATTTTTTTCCGGATGAATTTTGCAGCCTCTTTAGCACCAGCATCTGTCGCATTTACAGCATTACACGCAACCATTATTAAATCCCAATCGTCATCTTCTTTAACAACGCATTGATCTATTCGAATATAATATTGTTAAAATGATAACATCCTAAATGAAATTATAGAATAGAATGAATTTATACCTAAATACTCTGTAATTATTGTAGGTTTTTCGAAAATTTTCATCATTTTGTGGTTTTCTTATGAAGTGTGTTAAATCACGTACTTAGAAGGGCCAATATTTTTTTTTTTTTAAAAAATAATAAGCACCAATTAAAGAGCTACTAAGATTAATATATCTATTTATTTCACTTTACTACTTGTAACTATCATATGCCCGACTCGTATAGATAGAAAGAGTCAGTTTTTAATACAAATTCAACAATATACTTTATGATTTCACTATCGGTGTTTTTTTAGTTCAAGTTATAACAAAGTTGTAACAAAAAAAGAAAAATATATAGTCAAAAAAAGGAAATGTATCACAAAGTTCTACCCAAAAGACCAGTTTATATACTTGATTGTCCAAGTTAGCTTGACGCAGTATACTTGTGTAATTTCATAAGACAATATACACTTGGTATTCTTGGTGTGCTTAGCGTTAGTGTTAGAGTTGCGCAATAGCCCTCGTGGCATTGTATCCCAAAAGTAAGCTGCGTCGATCGTTTATCGTTGTTAGCTTAAACATGGATTAAACGTCTTAATAATTATCGTTATTAGAGCCAACTGTGACACACGCATGTGGACATTAGAGAACCGGAAAATAATTTTTCTCCTAATTTAGGGTAGTTAAATCGCGACAAAAAAATAACGCATCTATATATACATGTCAAGATCATACAGATCATACAGATCAATCTTGGTTTTGGTTCTTTGGATTCCAGATTTCTATAAATTTAAGTTTCAAACCTAAGTTAAAGTGTTAACCGATAAAATCGACTTAGTACGTAGTCATTGATATTTCTGATAATTATAACTAGAGGTGGGGACATTAGAACATACGGCATAGCCATGACTGGGGTAGCTACCCAAATTTATGACGTAAGAGGGTAGTTACCTTAACTTGAGAAATGACTCCATCTCTAGTAATAAGGCAGCATTCACAATTTACGTTAAACCAATATTGTAGGGATCTTAAAGATAATACAAACATAAACTATATGGCATTACCTATTTTCATACAATACGTACAATAATAGTTTAACGTAAATTGCCTAACTAGTATTATACCCTGTCCACTATATCAAGATCGCAGGGTAGTTGGGTATAAGTGGAAACGAAATTTCCGCTTATACACATAGTACCCAGGTATAACTTGATATATCGATATGTAGTGAACAGGGTATAATTCTAGATATTATAATAGTCGACTTGGCATAGGGACCTGCACGGGCCTAAACTGTGTACTTTTGCCGGCCCGCAAAATATGTTTCAAAAGTTCGGACCGGCCCATAGTCGGTAAAGCCGACTTTTGTGATGCATAATTACCCCTTAATCGACCGATTAGGATGCAAAATTGGGTTTAACGTATTGTCTCAGAATTTTATAAAGCTATCCTTATCTGTTATTTTAAAAAAAAAACCAAATAAATTCGACATGTTGGATTCAAGAAACCTTTAATTAACGCCTTCTCAGAATCTAACCTAATATTAACACGGCTGCTGTTTATTTTAAAATAATTGGTTAATTAGAGGGTGGCGATGCATCGCACTGGTAATGAATTATATTTTCTTTACAAACTTAAACCAAAATTTTTCATTAAAGTATATCTGGTATTTGGTCAATTGTATTTATAAAGATTTCTCTTAAGTCTTTTTTAAAATTCTGGTAATAAAAGAATTTACTATTTAGTAGATTAGTTTATTTTCATAATTGAATACGTATTAGAAAGTTTATTTTATTTTGTCTTGCAGAAAGAAATCAAATCTATATATAATTGTGTTGCAAATCTGTAACTTTGAATAATCACATCAGAAAATAAAATGGTGTCACACACTGCTATTATTAGTCCAACTTTTTCAGCCAATATGTATTAAAGATTTAAAGAAATGTATCGAATCTTTATGAAGAAGCGTACTGTTGAATATTATAAAATAAAAATAAAAATAGATAAATTTAATTGATCAAAATAATAAATAAGAGATACGCCAGAATAAGAAATAAACGAGCCTTTTTTACGAAATCTTTTGCAGTTTTGACGAATTTTTGTTTGTTTGTATTATAAACCTCTGCAATAGAAGCTACCAACGCATCGTCAGGATTTGGGTTTTCGAGAAGATCTGCGATAGCCTTGAGAACTTTTAAAAAGAGAAAAAAAACTTTAAAATAGGATTCATTGCATAAATACAAAATAACAAAGGATATAAAAACCTTGAGAGATTTTGGTGGCAGGTTTCCATACATCAGTCTTCAACAAATTCACACAAATTGACCCATCATCATCAATATTTGGATGATATACCCTAGTGATAAATTTAACCTAAAAAAATTCAACATTAGAACTCATGAACGAGATTAAAGAGGTACGAAGGCAAACAAGATGGCACTTAGACAACACATACCGACGGTGGTTTGAATGGATAATCCTGAGAAAATTCAATCTTGAGCTTAAAGATGCCCCCTTTGTAGGGACTATTGGCCTACATGAGCAGTAAGGATTTTATTATCCATTAAAGGTTAAGTTTTTAGAACTCGTTTGTAAAGGAGATAATAGCTTACAGGTCCCAAAATTGTGCCTAATTGCAAAGAAAAGTAAAAGTTTAAAGATGTAAAACTAGTATAATTGACGGTAAAAAAAATAATAATAAATTAAAAATTCACACCTGTCCAATTGAATATATCTTCTTCGGTAGGGCCAGCACTAATCCCGGCTGGAGGATCTCTGTTAAGTTCTGCAAGTTCCTAAAGTGACAAAGGTTGGAAAATTTTAGCACTAAGGAAAACAGTTTACAATCGTAGGATCAACACCCACTTTCTGAATACGTTTAAGAGCCATTGCAAAATTGTAATTATCAAGTTGTAATCAAAAGATATGTGTAGGATTTATGCCGCAGTGTCTCTAACTAACTATAAATTTTTAGATTTGTGTAACCCGATATTCCGTGTCCAATTACATATTGATATACATATTGCATAATCGCATTCTTGATATTTTCATAAAATACACTATCAAAAAAGTAACACAAACTTGCAATCCCCCGGATCAGTAACCTAGCTGCCACTCATAGACAGAAGTTTATCTGATTGGCCAATAAATTCGATTTAATTTTATATTATTTATACAGTTTTAGAGTACTTTTTAAACTAATCATAATGAAATAAAAAAAGCTGTATAGAAGGTTTCATTAGAGCTGTAGGACTCCACAGCCAAAAATAAGATCTAATTCTCGTCCGTTTAAAAAAGTTAGTATAGTAATAACTTCTCAAAATCAACTTATTACTCAGCTAACGGACGAGAATTAGATCTTATTTTTGACTATGGAGTCCTACAGTTCTAATGAAACCTTCTATATAGTTTTTTACTTTATTGTGGTTGGTTTTCGTTTTTTTAAAAAGTACTCTAAACTGTATAAATAATGTAAAATTAGATTGAATTTATTGGCCAATCAGACGAACTTCTACCTATGAAACTGCCACACCAAAATTTTATTAAAAATTATTATCTTTACAAATTTTAAACCTAAAAATTTTAAAATAAAGATAGTCAAAACAAACGTAAGAAAAAAAGTAACACTAACTTGGACACGGCTTTAGCAATCCTCGGATAAGTAACCTAGTTGTAACACCAACATTGTCAAAACAAACGTAAGAAAGCTGCATGTAAAATTAAAGCCAAGGAAATCGTGTTATAATTATGGTTGGGATTAGAAGAATATGATTCCTATTAATAAAATTTCACAAGGAACACATTATTAATTAGGCCGCAGGATGTGGTTTCCTAATTAAAATTTATAGCTATTCTTACTTTTTTGTCACGGAAATCATCGATTTTGATTGGCTAAAAACGATGATCAAAATTTAGTCCGGAATTACTCATTAGAGTGCCAAGAGAAAACCCGTAAATCTTGGATAAATTTTGCGGGTTCTCTCTCGGCGACACTCATTTGTCGATCAATTTTATGTGACAAAATTTAAGATTAGAGTATAGACACTCGTTTCTCATAGGCAGAAATTTTTCTGATCGGCTAATAAAGTCAATTTAATTTGACAGCTTAGAGTACTTTTTAAAAAAAAACGAAAACTAATCATAATGAAATAAAAAAAGCTGGATAGAAACTTTCAGTAGAGTTGTAGGACTCCATAGTCAAAAATAAGACCTAATTCTCGTCCGTTTAAAAAAGTTAGTATAATTTTTTTAAACGGACGAGAATTAGATCTTATTTTTGGCTATGAAGTCCTACAACTCTACTGAAAGTTTCTATCCAGCTTTTTTTATTTCATTATGATTAGTTTTCATTTTTAAAAAGTACTCTAAATCAGTGTTGTTACGCCTACTATGTTCAAGACTTTTTTAGACCATGTCCAATGTCCAAACGTCCACATGTCCAAGAATGTCCACAGCATATACAACCTTCAAAAATTAATATATTAATTTAAAAGATATTGAATTATATATTTTTTATAGTGCTGAATATTTTTATTTAGAAAGTTAAAATAGATTAACTTAATAAAATTTTGAGTAATTTTAAATGTCCAAATTAAATTGAATTTATTAGCCTATGAACTCGTTTCTTTTTTTGCTTCGTCGGGCCGATTCGTATAAACAAAAATGTTATTTTTAAGCGACCCTTAAAATAGGAAATTAGATCATATTACGACAGGGTGAAACCTGCTCTGTGGATTAGTAAAATCCGCATAATAAAAAACAGCCAAACCCCTAACAAGCGGATTTACAGTGTGGGTTTCACTTAGCGTTAGTCCTACGTATCATCCCAAACTATGTGATGAATAACATCACACGATCTCAGCAATAACAATAAGGAGGTAAATATCTCATACGATATTATTCATCACATTAGAGTTCCAATCTGGGTCATCCGTTTATCCATTTCTAATTATTCAGATAATACAAAATCGCTCTGATTCATAGGGAGACATTCGTATGATTGGCTGATGCAATCAATTTCCCGAGTAACTTATTTATACACTTTAAAGTACTTTTCGGAAATGTAACGTTTCACTAATAACGGTCAAGTGTAATGTCAGAAAATTTTCAGGGTAATGATTTAATTAAGGGATCTGCAAGCTGCAGTACATATGAAATGATATGGCGATCTATATGTTTTGTAAAAAAAATCAGTTTTCACTTCTAAGCTAGCACTCGTATTTTACATTACAAGTGATATTTCTTTATTATAATGAAAATTTCATTGTTTTCTATTTTTAAATAATCTATATTTTATCTCTCTTACGCCAAAAACCTTTGAAGTATCTTATTTTGAAAATGGCATTTTGAGACTATCGATATGAGATTTGATTGGTTGATGTGACCGATTTACAAAATGTGATAATGTCGAAATTTTTAGAGTAATGGTAATGTATCATATATAAAATTATATAATGGTCTATATGTTTTGTAAAAAAAAGATAGTTTTCACTTCTAAGCTAACACTAGTATTTTACAACATAACTAACAATCTATATAATAAAAACTTTTTTTTTTTTTTTAATATTAACGGTGAGGCCATGCCTCATATAATAAAAACTTTTTATTATTTCATGTTTTTAATCTATTTATATTTTTTTTTTCTATTATACTGAAAATTTTGAAGTATTTTATTTTGAAAATAGCATTTTGAGACTATCAATAAAATTACACTCAAAATTTGGTCTATGGTTTTTTTACTTTCATTTGAAAATTTACTTGCTTTATAATGATGATATTTACTTTATACTATTTATTTTTTATTTTTTTTTTTTTTTAAGGTGAAGTCTTGCTTGTATCTTTATTAAGTAATTTATAAAATAGTAACATATATGCAGTACATATATTTCTACTATTTGTACTAGTACAAAAAAAAAGAAAATTATATGCAAGAATAAAAGCTTAGACAATTAAATAAATCTAATTTATCTGTGACCTAAACCTACTAAAGTGGTCAAAAATTCACTTAGATAATATCATTTATAGTTAAAATAAAGTTAGAAGTTGTGTGATACTTGACCCACAGAGTAGCCTAAGTACTAATTTTTCTAAAAGCCTGTTCAACAAGTAGACAGTTTTCAGTATATGAATTGAGTTAATTGGGTTGATCACAGAAACAAGAATATATAAAATTATAATAAATATGTATATTATTTTTATTATAGAAAGATAAGGTTTGTTGTGTAGTATATGTATTGGTTATTTGTTGTTGTTTTTTCCAATTTGAGAAATTAATACAGTAGAGTTTCTATAATTGTTCATAGATTTGTTTGTTAATTTCAAGCAGAATATTAATCATAATTGTTGATACTAGTTTGTATAGAACTTCTAGGTTCTGAATAGTTTTAATTAGAGATAAGGGAATAAGACCTTTAAGAGTAATTTCTAGATAGTATAAAGATGAGTAAAGAGGTGTTTTTTTAAAAGCTGAATGGTCTTTAATTTTTTGGATAAGTTTTCTAGTTTTATTGTTAGAGAAATCTAAATTGGCTAAGTTTATGTAGTTAGTTATTGCATTGAGAATAATGCTATCAAACAAAGAAGAATTGGCACAAATGCATCAATGTAATAATAACATAATTGAATTGCAGTGAAAGCAATTGGCATCATGAAAGATTAGAGAATAGATTTTATAATAGAGGTATTGAGTAGGTAGTTTATTAAGGAATATTTTAATTTTAAATAATTTAGATTGATTAAGTTTAAAATTAGTAAAATTGTAGGTAGATTTTTGATTATAATTGAAGTATAGCCAGGTTGAATTTTAATCAATATGATGGGCTAATAGAGTCTATTCATCATTTTGTTTTTGTGATGACTATAGTGCAAGGTTGTAAGCTTTACAAATACTTTTAACAAAATATCTGATAAGAAGTTTAACAAAAAATTTTTCTGTTTCAAAGAATAATAAATGATATAGGTTGTGAATATTTGTATAGTTAAAGTGTAATGATGATTCATTTATATGTTGCTTAGCAAGTGAGTCTGCTAGATTGTTAAGAGTATTGTCTAAGTAGGCTTGAACTTTATAGAAAATAATATTTAATTTGTATGATTTAATAATATTTAATAAGGTATGCTATAATGGCCAGGAGTTAAATTTAAAAAGTTTATTAGAATTTAAAGATGGTTAATTAAGTTAAATAAATTTTGATATTATGGATTAAGAATCTGTGTAGATGTTAATTGTAAAATTTTAAGAGGTAGTTAAAATAGCAAACAAAATAGAAAAGTGTTCAGCCTTGTAAAAAAATGGCCAGAAGTGAATTTTGGAAGTGAATTTGTAAATAACTTGGTCATTAGAATCTACTTGAACTCAGCTAATACCTATAGTATAGTTATTTGTACTTATACTAATTACAAACCATCAGTATAAATATTAAATGAGTTATATAGTAGATTATTAAAAGATATTTGATTAAGTTTGTTAGTTGTATCACTTGCTTTAAAAATTGCAAAAGAGATGGAGTTGAAAATAGAAATAAAAGACAATAGCAGTAGTAAAGAATTTGGCAAAGACTATTTAATTGCAGCAGAGCTGAGAAGGTCTAGATAGTTTGCATTTATTTTAACTGAGTTTAAAATAATTCTACCAAAAAATTGAACAGATGTAATAGATGAAGTATTAATAGTACATGATGTAGTTATTCATTGTGAATTAAGTTGACAACCTGAACAAGGAACAAGATTAATTTGTTGAAGTGGGTAGTAATCAGTACTGCTTATATTAATATCTGTTTGTTAGTGTATAATTGATATTTGGTTAGAATCTGTAAGATGTTTGCAGATTTTGTCTATAATAATTTTCTCATTATTAAAAGTAATCAATCATGGTTTATATTTTTTGAGGA